ATGATGCTTCCCGGTCGTCTGGTGCCCCGTTGCCGTTCTCAAATGCCAGCCTACATGTGGCTGGGGGTGTGAGTGTCGGGGTGGTAGTTAGTGCATCCCCGGCTCCCCTGCCTCAGCCATGCCCGCCTGCCCCTATCTCCAGTCAAGTCTCCAGTTGTGTCTCCTGTGGTGTGTGGTCTAGTGCCCCTAGTCATCGAGGATGACTAGGGGCCGTGCACTGTCTCCGGAAGATGTGTCTTCGGCCCATGTTGACGTGCATGCGGTGATGTCTCCCATGGTCTGTGGTCCTGTTCCCCGGGTTGTTGAGGCTGTGATGTAGAGTGATTGTGCACTGCGTGGAGTTGTGCGGCCGACCAGAGGTTCTACTGCGGTGCCTCTTAGCGGGGGTGATAGTTCCGACGACCTGTATCCAAGTGATTGCGGCGAGCTTCGAGTCTTTCTCCGCCTCGTGGTGAGACCTGGGCCGACGTCAGGAATTTTTGTGACTCTGGGAGTTCGTTCTCTTTGGATGGTGATGTGGGCAATGATGTTGGGGTGCCTGCGGCTTCTGTGGGCTGCGCTGCGGGAGTGATGGGTCCTGTGGTGGGATTGTCAACTGATCCTGTGTCTTCTCCAGCTGCCTCTGCATTCCTGGTTGCTGGTTCCCCCGGGTTGGGCGGTTGTGGCGCCGGCCGCGGTTGCGGTAGATGGAGGGGACTTGGTGATGGTTCTTAGGAAAGATTCTGTTCTTGCGACCCCTATGCCTCTAGCGTCCTTGTCTGTGCCCTCCGTGCGTCTGTCCTCAGTGCTGCCAACTGCTGCGCTGCTGCCCACTTCTCAGCCGCCCTTTGTTACTCCACCCCCTTGTGGTGTCAGCGTCTGTGTCATCGCCCTCTGTGATTTTGTCCCCTGCGACTGTGCCCGTTGTGCTGCTGCCTTCTGTAGGGCCAGCTTCTGTGCTCCAGTCTCTCGTGGTTCCACTGCCGGTGCAGCCGAGCTCTGTGTGGCCTCTTCCCGTGACTTCCGCCCCCGTGGAGAGGGCGGAAGTACTTCATGTATAGACCGCGGGGATCGCGTCGTTACGTTTCCTTGTCTGTGAAGGTGTTGGCTCGGTGGGATGCCTACAGGAAGAAGTACCCTCGTCGTCTATTTCCGGATAAATATAATGATAATTAACTGTGTGTGTGGTTCTTGATTTGTGTTGCTTAATTTACCTGTTTTGATGTGCTGTGAGATACGGTTAATTTTGTTCGTGTTTCTTGCCTGGTAATGTTGGGTTATAGTGCTCTGGTGCTTTCTCTTTTCAGACTGTGTTTAAATGTTACCTATGTTTAGGTTTCCATTTTATGTGTATTGTACGACTTTTGTTTGTGTGTTTGTTTTACTGCTCTTCAATTTTGTTCATGTGTTTCTTGCCTTGTAAATGTGAATGATGATGTTCATGCTTTTCTATTATGTAGTATTTGTGTTTACAAAAAAAAAATAAAAAAAAATGGGGGGGGGTGACATATCTGGGGGATCAGTAAAGATGATGGATGAAGGAGTCCTTCCCCTCTTATATTATAATAATATTTGAACTGACAATTCACCTTCAATAAGTTAACACTACTAGAGGAACTTTATAACTGTAAACTTATTATTTCTCCTTGGTATGGGAACCTTTTATAAGCATTTTAGTACAAGTAAAAGTTTTTACATTAGTGCTAAATATACTGTGAGTGTCTGTCATGGGAGCGGAAGTCTTCCTCTCATCCCTCTCTTCTCCATCTCTATATTGTAACTAACAATAAGGTAAATGACTATAAATAATAAATATTTAAACAATAAATAAACAAAATCAACATAACAGTGAAGGAGGTCAAGTAATATTCGGTTAGTTATGGGGTTAAGTGGCCCTTGCCTGCATTGTTGATATTGTCAATGGCCACTTCTGGCGGCGGCATCTGGCCACTTGCATGTTATGGTCGTAGCGGCAAGAGTAACTAGCGTCTTGGACCCCTGTTGAGGAGTAGCCAATTACAAGCCAGGAAGGAACTGTTGCTGCAGAATTTATTACCAATGAGAAGCAGTGTGGTGAGTATAAAAGTGGGAGTTGGCGCCGAGGTGTGTCAGTTACCTCCTCACCTCCACAGTAAGACGCCCTATTATTGTGAAGGTTTGTGTTATTATGTTAAGTTTTATTGTTAATAATTAAGTTTTGTTGGTAATAATATTTAGGTAATAATTAAGTACTATGGTAGGCGTTGTATAGTTAAATGTTTCATAATCTTTGTATAGTTGAATGTTTCATAATCTTTGTAACAATTGTTTTCTAGATTATCATCACATTCACACAGGTGACGTCCTGACAAAGTCAACTCTTTGCCAATTAACTAGATTATGCACTTAATTAGTGTAACATTACTAAACAAATCCATGGCTTCTTATAGATGTAGGTAACTACGTGGATTATATCCTCTAAACTCATATCCTGCTAAACTGCTCCTAAGCTAATAAAATTAAACTTTAAATATGAATATTTAAAGTCCTTAAGTTTCTCTAAAATTTTTAAATGCTATATTTTGGTTCTGAAATAGCACTGAACTTTCCTTGCTCTGAGCTTACTTGTGAAGAGGATGAAGGGTTGGGTACTGTTCACTTGCTGAAATTCATGCATTTCACTTGGAAGCTACATTGTTTCTTGCAAATGTAACTCTTGACTATCCATAATTTTTATTAATAACTTTGAGCAACGTTATTACATTCCAAACTAGTCGTCACTAGAGTAGTTAAAACCTTACGACGCCTCTGAACTAAGTGTACGTTGCAGACTAGTTTGAGTAACGGGTATTGCAAGGAAGAATTTAACAAAACATTCGTAATTTAATGTAGCACCTTCAGGTAAACTCTTGTTCCTACTGATTTCGGTTAAACCTTGTATCTAAATTATATTAAATTTAAACTATAGGAGTGACTTTGCTAAAAATTCATCTATATTCCTTATGGATCTCATGAAAGATAACTACCCTTATCTTCATTTGATACCAGTCTAGACAAATTTTATTGACGCTACTATAAATATTACGTATACCAATCTCGCCCTTGCATCCTTAACTTTCTCTTAAAAAACACTTGTGAATCTCTGCTTAGTACTTGACGAAACGCTCAAAGTTTAATAAATTGTGCATAAAGAACAGAATTAATCCGTCAACACCTTGCCTTCTATTCACTTTTCATACAATAATTTTCCGGTGGTCGTGCCGGTGGGATTACAACTCGCCTCCAGTGAAGTATACTCTGCCTTAAACGTGCTCTTGTAATTTCACACACCGGAGACCAGGTGTGTAACATTGATTATTGTACTGGTAATATTGCTGAACCAGTCAATGAAAACTTCTTAATGAAATGGCAGACTCACCGTTTACGTTAACCTTGGATAAAAGGTAATTACTTTAAACATTGGATAGGTATTGTCAAGCAATACATTATTTGTGAAACTCTACTATTAAAGTCTTGTGTAAAATATACCTATTAGACTTAAAGGTAGCATATACATTGCTCGTCTTGCAAAATTATTTGACTTCAAAGTTGTTGGTTTTTTTTTTTTTTTTTTTTCTTACTTGCAACTTAAGTATACATTTAAATACTAAACTTCTCGGTCCCACTAAACTTCCACTTCACACTGTAAATTGAAATGACTTTCGTTTGTATTAATAACTGTTCCCGGCCACACGTTGTTGTGGCTCTGCAACTGTTAGTTTCTGAGCCATGGTAAATTTCCCGTCTCCCAGTCCTCTCCCACTATTACCACCTCCCCTGTCCTCTCGTCCTTGTCCTTCCCACTATTCCCCCACGCCACCATCCCCCTGGTCCTGCCACATTCATCCTGTCCCCCACTCCTGTTCCTTTGTCCTCCCCATTTTCCATTCCTCGTCTTTCCCTCCATTCCCCACTCCCTCGCCCGATGCATTCCCAAATGATCTGATGTTCCTATCGGTGAAAAAAGTTATAAAAGATAGGAAAATAAACCAAAATCAACGGTATGGTAAACGCTGCTCTTTCAATGCCATGTCATACAAAATAATAGAATAAAAATAAATAAATAATCTCTAAAATTTCAATTCATCGATGCTATTGCAAACATTGAAATGGAATTGTAACATAATTAGTTGAACTTTTGGACCAGTTAAGTGAGACGGATGGCGCTGTTTAGAAAAAAGTTTTTAACAGTCGCAGATGTGCCATCTATATAGTATATATATATATATATATATTTTATATATATATATATATATAAACGCACGCCTATTCAAATGCAACTGTCAAAATTGAAAAGCAATTGGTAAAGAGGTTTTGAAGATTTCCCTCTCATGAAAGTCTTTTCAAAAAATTTTACGATCGGATTTGATATTTGTATAAAAACCTGTTCGGATGCAAATGGATCGTTTTGTGAGAATTTCAAAGCCATTGGTGAAGAAATTTAGGAGATTAGTGATTTAGAACAAACGAACATTTCCATTTTTATTTATATAGATTTAATAAATACTCATTACAGATGGCTGCCATAATATTTCTGGTGATGGCAGCGGCAGTGATGCCATCCTGGGCCCAATACTTTTTTTTTTTTTAAGTTATATACTAGAGTTGTTACATTCTTGTACAGCCACTAGTACGCGTAGCGTTTCGGGCAGACACCTGGAATACGATCCCCTGCTGCGAAGAATCGTTTTTCATCCAAGTAAACATTTTACTGTTGCGTTAAACAGAGGCTACAGTTAAGGAATTGCGCCCAGGAAATCTTCCCCGGCCAGGATACGAACCCATGACATAGTGCTCGCGGAACGCCAGGCGAGTGTCTTACCACTACACCACGGAGACTCTAGTCTCCGTGGTGTAGATTAGTAGAGGCGTTATTATTACTTCGTTAATAACGCTGCTCCCGCCATCTTGGGAGCCACTGACAGTCCATTCGTTACCTCAAGTGGAAACCTCTTGGTATCTGAAGGCGGCCCCACCTAACCTCAACCCCAGCAACCCTTCCCACAACTACCAGCCCAACAACCTGTGTTCAGCCACAACTACCAAGCCAGCCTCAGGTCTTTATTCCTCAACAAGTATCTCCACTATTGACTCCCTTTACCTTGTGTCCAACTACATCTTTATGCAACCATGCTGCTAAACCCCTGGTAAGATGAGTTCCATTTTCCTTTCATATGGACGTACTTAAGGTTAACTGGTAATTAAAATGAGCCTTCACATAATTTTTTGTAACTTATCAGGTTGACGAGGTAGTGGACGGCAGAGCATACCACTTCTCATGGTGTCACGACTCTGGTCGACTCTACACCTGGGAGCAAGCAACTTATTACTGCTCTGGGCTTGGCAACGGGTCCAGGCAGTCGGTATTGAAAGTCACAGGAAGCAAGGGTTAATTTCCAACTGTGATTACACGTAAGTTGAAAAGGTGGTCTAGGTGTTTAACTAAGCCTTGAGTGACTAACTTGGATGTAATGAAAATGGTATAATTTCAGACTACATCAGCAACATCTGGACGAGCGGCAACAAACGGAACTCGAGGTCTCGGTCGTGGTTATCTGGCACTTCCTCTCCCTACTCTAACTGGTCTAGCACTGGCAGTTGAGAACTGGTTTGTTGATCGTAAACAAAACTATTGGTGTTGACTGGTAATGATCATGGCCTTGAGAACCACTTGTCTTCCCCAGGCGAGGACTGCCACAGCCAGACAACGATGAAGGCAACGAGGACTGTCTGGCGGTGTTAAACAACCTGTATAACGATGGTGTCACTTGGCACGACTCCTCCTGTTTCCACCTGAGACGCGTAATCTGTGAGGCTCCACGCTTCTACGCTCGATAGTTGTTCTCCATCAGTTCTCATTGTATTAATCAATGGCAGTAAACTTCTAAATCTATCGATTGATACAAATTAATTCCAGACATTCTATTGTTGTAATATAAATGTTATAAACGCATTGTCTGGTTTATTTCTCTGAAGTTTGTAAACACCGCCCATCTTGCAAATGTGGTATAGAAAAGTGTGAGGGGCGGCAAAGGGGATAATGTGTCAATGTGGACACCTTAACAGTTTTTTGTCAGTCTGGTTAGATAGCCTAAGTTCTGATAGGCTGCCGACCCCTACCAGCTAGAGGTTGGCAGAGTAGCGCTGAACAGACTGTAAGGCAACCTGTTCTCACTAGGCTGTTTAAAGCGGTGGCAGTCTTCCCCAAATGCACCCCGTCCCCGCTCAGCTCGTTGTCGCCGTGTGGGGGCTTAGTGGGCGGCTGCCGGAGTGTGATGCTCCTTGGGACAGTCCTCTGTCCTTTTCTAGCCTTGTGCTCCTGCTGCCGTCCTCTCCAATTCTGCTGGGCATCTTTTCCTTTTCCTTCTGTTTCGTTTTTCTCCCCCCTCTTCTCCTATCTGCTTGTCGTTTCCTGCCGACCTTTTGCTCGTTCTGGTTCTTCCCTTGGACTTCTTCTATTTTGACGCCCGGGTGCTTGAGGAGGCATACTCTTGACACCCGTAGAACTGCAGTACCCGACGTCGAGAGCGAGGGGAACCTTTTATTGTCAATCCCCATTTCGTCACTGAACCCGATCTCGACGGACTGTCGGTTTCTTAAGGTGGCGTTTGTGGGGCGTATACTCACGACGCACCCCTAGGAGGCCCCGGCAAGATCGGCGATAGCTTCTTGTTGGGTGTCCTGCTTCTAATTGTGGCTCCGTGGTGGGTGTGGGGGCACATTCGTGAATGAATTCTTCTTTTCGTCATGATGATAAACCCTGTTTCGGCTGCTTCTGGTTTGCCTTCTCAGGCTCGAGGGGTGGGCGACCAAGCCCCCGGGTCGGTCCGCATTGGAAGACCGGGCTCTGTAGCCTCCGCTGCATTGGGCCCCGACCGTGCTCCTCCTTTGGCCTCTCTGACTCCTTCCCCTGGCTCCCCTCCCTCCTCTGTGGTTGGGTCGAGCCCCAAGCCCCCAGTGGTGACTACCTCGTCCCCTGGCGCGGCTCCTTCTCTAGTTGTAACTACTGTGCCTTTTAACCCCTCTCTGGGGGTTCTCACCGCCGTCCTCGTCACGGCCGCCCTAGCTAGATTCCTTCCAGTTCTGCTACCTATCAAGCCCTGTTTGGTCCTTCTTCGTGGGCCAAATATTTTGATCTCCTCCTTCTTGATTCTGCGCCTCCTGATGATTTCTCCCTCCATAGACATCTCGTTGATTCCGTGGATGCCTCCATTACTTTCAACCCCACTTGTCTCGGTACACGTGTCGTTGCTGCTCCTTCTCAGGATGCTGCTTCCTGCTTGGCTGCCTTATCCTGCCTTGGCGAGACCCCTGTTCGGGTCTCGAAGAACGCTCAGTTGAATGCCAGTGTTGGCACTATTTTGCTCCCGCTCCATGTTGCGACCGGTGTTCGGGACCTGCGCGACTGCCACGACGATATTCAACATATCCTTGCTGCCCAGGGCCATTCTATTCTCCAGGTGGACACGTTTACTCGTCCCCCTCGTGGTTTTCGTCGTCAACCCCTCCGGGTTGTGAAGATTACCTTTGATGGTAGGACCCTTCCACCCTCTGTCATTCTTGCTGGTGCCAGGTGCTCTGTCCAGGAGTACATTCCTTCTCCTCGGCGCTGCAACACGTGCTGGAGGTTTGGGCATGGTGCCCTCCGCTGCTCCGGGACTGTCTCTCTCTGTCCTTTGTGTGGTGGCGAAGGTCACTCCAAGTCGGAGTGCACTTCTCCCCAGGCTCGTTGCCTCAACTGCGGTGAGGCCCATCCTACCTTCTCCCGTGCGTGTGTCCATTACAAGCTTGAGGCAGCCGTCCTCAACTTGAAGCACCGGGAGCGTTTATCTTTTCCCGAGGCGAGACGCAAGGTTCGCCGGCTCCCGCCTTATGCTAATATCTCTTATGCTCGCGTGTTGCGCTCTTCCTCTCCTCGTCCTTCCCGCCTTCCTCAGACTCCCAACCGTTTTCGGGCCTTGGACCCTGATGCGCCCGCTGCCCCCTCCTTTGTTCCTTTGGGTTCTCTCCCGAAGGATCCTCCTCCTGGTCCTCTGTCCGGGGTTTACCTTCCTTCTACCCGGTCTGTCGTGTCTTCTTCCTCGTCCCCCCTCCAATCCTCCTTCCCATCCTCTTCCTCCATCTATCGGCTCTCCCCACCGCCTGTCGGTGCGGGCGGATGTCCATCGCTCTCCTAACGGCCGACGTGTGTGTGCTCTCGTTCGGCTTCTCCTGTTCAGACACTGGAATCCGTTGCCCGGTACGTAGTTGCTGGGACACCGGTCTCTTTAAGTCAGAAGCGTAAGCCTGGCTCCTCTCCTTCCTCTTCCCCGGCGAGTAAGAAGGCTTCGCTTTCTTCCTCGGCTCCTACTTCTGGCTCTGTTGCTCCTTCCCCTCCCGTTTCAGTGATTACGTCCCCTGTTCCTGCTATGGAGGTTTCTTTGGCCCCTGCTTCCCTTTCGGTTGCTGCTCTTGCTGGGGTGCGCTCCCCTCTTTCTACTCCCCCTCTTTCTACTCCCCCTCTTCCTGCTGCTGTCCTTGACTGCTCCTCTCCGTTGTCTCCTCCTCTTCCTCCTCCTCCTCCGGACCCCGCCCGCCCTCCTCTGATCTGTTCTCCAGTTTCCTTCCCTCCGTCTTTGCTCAGTTTACCAATGCCCCCTAACCCTGACTTTGCTGACCCTGATCTCGACCCTGATATTCTTTATCGTGCTCTTTCGCCTTTGTTTCTTCCTTGTTCTCTGTTTTCGTCTTTTCTCTTCTCGTCGTTGTCCATTCTTCAATGGAACGTTCGAGGTTATTACGCCAATTTCCTCGAACTCCAACTTCTGATTTCGCGGTTTTCGCCCCTTTTGTGTCTGTCTCCAGGAGCCAATGCTTGGTGCTCGTCCAGGACGTTTTTGTGGCTATTCCTTTCTCTCTCTTCCCCCCCCCCCAGCCATTGCTAGGGCTTCTGAATTTCTGCTCTCTTGATTCGTGCTGATGTTCCCTTTGTTCCTTTGCTTTTTCCTTCGCCTCTCCATTGTTCTGCTGCTCGTATCTTTGTGGGGAAATGGTACACAGTTTGTTCCATTTATCTCCCCCCCGAGTGTCCCGCTCTCTTACTGCTCTGAAACACCTAGACTCTTTGCCGGAGCCTGTGCTCCTGCTGGGTGACTTCAATTGTCGTCATCCTCTTTGGGGTGACGTTCTGACGAATACCCGGGGTCGCCTCCTTGAGCCGTTTCTCCTCTCTTCTTCCGTGTCTCTTCTGAATTCTGGTGAGCCCACTCATTTGGACTCTCGGACTCGCACCCTTTCTTGTCTTGATCTTTCTCTCTGCTCTTCTTCTTTTTACTCAGATTTCACGTGGCAGGTTCTTGATGACCTCCATGGAAGTGATCATTTCCCCATCCTTGTTTCCTTTTTCTCTTTTCGCCCTTCCCTCTCTTTCCCTAGGGTCCAGTCTGCCTTAGCAAACTGCCACCTATTTACCCTCAGTGCTGCTCTCTCTGACCTCTCCCTCGCGCTCTCCTCCTTTTTCATGACAGTCTTCAACGCTGCCCTCCGCTCTATTCCTCGCTCTTCCTCTCGGGGTCCATTGAAGTGCGTTCTCTGGTGGAATGCGGACTGTGCTCGGGCCGTCCGCTGTAAGCGTGCAGCCTGGAAGAGGCACCGCCGTAGGCAGATGACCGATTCTTTTCTTTCGGAAAGAGTGCGGTGGCCCGTAGGGCCGTCCGTACGGCTAAACGTGAATGTTGGGCATCTTATGTTTCAACAATTACGTCTGAAACCCCTCTGGCCCAGATCTGGAAACATATCCGCAAGATAGCGGGTAAGTTCGTTCCCGATGTTTCACCGGTCCTTCACCTCCATGATACTCTTGTGGCGGACCCGTTGCAGGTCGCTTCCGAACTGGGTTCCCACTTTTCTTCTGCTAGCTCTGGTCTTCATCTTCCCCAATCTTTCCTTCTTCGTAATCCTGTCCTTGAGTCTCGTCCTTTAGATTTCTGCACTCATCTTCAGCTTCCCTATAATGATCCCTTCTCTCTCTGAACTTCGCTCTGCCCTGGCCCTCTGCGGTTCTACGGCGGCGGGCTCCGATGGTATTCATTATGAGATGCTTCGCCATCTCCCGGCGAGCACGTCTCAGTATTTACTGAGTCTATATAATCGGATCTGGGAGTCGTCGTCAGTCCCTGCGGACTGGCTCGATGCCGTTGTCCTCCCTGTTCGCAAACCGGGGTCTCTGGGTACTTCCCCTAAGGACTTTCGCCCAATTGCTCTCACAAGTTGTGTCTGCAAACTCTTTGAACGTATGGTTAACGTTCGTCTGATGTGGTTCCTGGAACACTATCACCTCTCCCCTTCTCAATTTGGTTTCCGCAAGTGCCGCAGCACGACAGATGTCCTGGTGAACTTGGAGGTCTATATTCGTACTGCTTTTGCTGCGAAGACCTCCGTTGTTGCCGTCCTTTTTGACCTGGAAAAGGCTTACGACACCACTTGGTGTTATCATATCCTATCTCAACTTCATTCTTTTGGCCTTCGTGGTAATCTCCCTCTCTTTCTCCGCAGCTTCCTCTCTCGTCGTTCCTTTCGGGTGCGCCTTGGTACTGCTTTCTCCCTCTTTTCAGCAATACGAAGGT